ACCAGACCTCTAAGGGGCGCAGTAAGTCTGGTTTTGTAAATGTTGGAGAACCGGAAAGCCAGATTCAACGGCTGCTTTGGAAGGGAATAAGACGCACTGCTGGAATGGGACATGCGGGAAGAGTACACAGACAAGAAGCCCACAGGAAACAAAAAGCGAGTTCTTTCTTCCCCCAACCTGTCACTTTCCTCCAGTGCCCTCTATCAGCAAAGCCTAACAGGGCGCCCCCTGGCAAATGGGCTTTGCAGAGTCCCAGGTCAGCTTAATAAAGCAGAGTATAGGGTGGTGGGTTTAGTTATCAAAGATAGTAAGAGCTTAATAGCTAGCACAGCATCCCACTAAGACAAGTAAAGCACAGCCTAGTGATTCAAGGTGATGATTTCATCACACAACTGAACAAAGGAGAAAAACATATAATTGAAAAAGATTCTAAATAGGCTACTAAATAAAATTCAACACTCATTGCTTTTTCTATTTTTTTCTAAGCAACGGAAATTTAGTTTTGTTCCTACTTCTGAAGGCTGGAAGTCGAAGATCAAGGTGTCTGGCAAGTTTTGTTTGTCCTGAGGTCTCTCCTCTTGGCTTGCAGATGGCTGTCCTCTTGCTGCATCCTTACATGGACTTCTCTCTGTAGGCATACGTCCCTGGTGTCTCCTCCTCGCATAAAGACACCAGTCCTCTTGGATTACGGCTACCCTGTTATGACCTTATTTAACCATAATTGCCTTTGACCTTTACTTAAAATTAATTGATCATAGTTGTATGGGTTTAATTACAGGCTCAATTACATTCCATTAAGTTATGTCTATCCTTATGCCAATACCACACTGTCTTGATTACTGTATCTTTGTAGTAAGTTTTGGAATCAAGAAGTGTGAGTCCTCCAACTTTGTTCTTCTCTTTCAAGATTGGTTTAGCTATTTAGAGCCCCTTGCAATTCCTAATGAACTTTAGGTGCAACTTGTCCATTTTTATATATAAAAAAAAGGCAGTTGAATATTGATAGTATATTAGTTTCCTAGGGCTGTCACAAACTGAGTGGCTTAAAACAACAGAAAATTTTTTCATCACAGTTCTGCAGTCCAGAAACCCAGAATGAAGGTGACATCTGGGCCATACTCTCTGTGAAGTCTTTAGGGAGGAGTTCTTCATGCCTCTTCCATGTTCTGGTGGCCCCAGGCGTTCCTTGGCTTGTGGTAGCATAACTCCAATCTCTGCCTCTTTTTTATATGGCCTTCTTATCTATGTCTCTTCTCAATGTGTCCTTTCATCTTCTTATAAGGACATCTGTCATTGGATACAGGGCCCAACTTATTTTGGAATGACCTTATTAAAATTAATTACATCTGCAAAGATACTTCTTCCAAATAAGGTAATATTCTGAAGTTCCAAGTGGATTTGAATTCCAGCAGTGGGGGCCAGCGGGGTACACTATTAAACCCATTACAGAGAGAGATTACACTGAATCCGTAGATTACTTGGGGTTGTATTACCATCTTAACAATATTAAGCCTTCTAATCCATAAACGTGGGATATCTCTTTATTTATTTAGGCCTTCTTTAATCTCTTTCAATAATGTTTTGTAATTTTCATTGTAAAAATCTTATAACTTCTTGGTTACATTTATTTCTAAATATTTTATTATTTTTGATGTTATTGTGAGTGAAATTGTTTTCTGAATTTTATTTTTGGATTGTTCATTTCTCATATACAGAAACACACATGATTTTTGCATGTTAATCTTATATATTTCTTAGAATTTTCTCTGCTAGTAGAGATAGTTTCATTTCTTCCTTTCCAATTTGGATGCCATTTATTTCATTTTCTTGTTTAATGTCTCTGGTTAAATTTCCAGTACAATGTTAAATAGAAGTGGATAAAACAGACATTCTTGCTTTGTTCCTGATTTTAAAGGAAAAGCTTTCAGTTTTTGAACAATAAGTATGATGTCAACTGTGGGTTTTACATGCCTTTTATCACAGAGAGGAAGTTCCCTCCTACTGGATACCCAAATTCCCATTTGGGTATTTTAATCATGAAAAAGTGTGGGATTTTGTCGAAGCCTTTTCTGCCTCAATTAAGATAATTGTGTTTTTTTCTTTCATTTTCTTAATATGGTGTTTTACATTGATTAGTATTTGTATGTTGAACTAGTCTTGTATTCCTGAATAAATCCCACTTGGTCGTGGTGGGATTTTAACATGCTTCTGGGTTCAGTTTGCTAAAGTTTCGTTGAGGACTTTTGCACCTACACTCATAACAGCTCTTGGTCTATATTTTTCTTTTCTTGAGATGTCTGATGCTGGCTCCAGACCATGTTAGAAAGTATTCCCTTTCCTTCCACTTCTTTGGAAAACTTAGAGAATAATTGCTCTTAATTTTTTAAATCATGGGTAGAATTCGCCAGTGAAGCTATCTGGTCCTGGGATTTTCTTTGCTGGGACATTTTAAACTGCCAATTCAATTTCTTCATTTGTTATAGGTCTAGGAAGGTTTTCTATTTCTTCTTGAACCAGTTTTTGTAGTTGGTGTGTTTCTAGGAATTTGTCCATTTCATTTAGGTTATCTAAGATGTTGGTGTATAATATGTTGTTTATCATATTTTCTTATATTCATTTTCATACCAGTAAGGTCTATATGATGTCCCCATTTCCATTCCTGATTTTAATAATTTCAGTCATCTCTGTTTTTTTCCTTAGCCAGACTAGTTGAAGGTTTGTCAATTTTGTTGATCTTCTCAAAGAACCATGGTTTGGTTTCTCTGATTCTATTATTTTCCTTTCTTTATGGCAGTTGTCTCTGCTATAGTCTTTATTTTGTCCCCCTTCTGCTTGTTTTAGGCTTGGTTTGCTCCTTTTTTCCTAGTTCCTTAAGGTGGAAAGTGAGGTTATTGATATGAGATATTTCATCTTTTTCAGTACAAATATTTAATTTCCTTCTGAGCACTGCTTTTTACTGCATCCCCTAAGTTTTGGTATGTTGTATTTTCTCAATGTATTTTCTAATTTCCTTTGTGATTTTTCTTCTTTGACTTATTGGTTGTTTAAGAGTGTTGTTTAATTCCCACATATTTGGAGAGCTTTCAGGTTTACTTCTACTATTGACTTCTAATTTCAGACCATTGTCAATGGAAAGATAATTGGTATGTTTCCAACCATTTTGCTTATTGAGATTTGTTTCATGGCTTAATATATGATCCTGGAGAATGTTTCATGTGCACTTGAGAAGAATATGCATTCTGTTGTTAGTTAAAGTGTCCTGGGTATGGCTGATTCTTTCTTCTGCCTGTTGAACATCACATCTGCTGTTGAAATCCAATGATGAGTTTTGTTCATATCTCAGCTCCAGAAATTCTAGTCGGTTCCTTTTTGTAATTTCTGTCCCTTTATTGTGACTCTCTGTTGAAAAAGTGTTCTCTTCATTTCCTTTAGTTCTTTGTACATAGTTTCCTTTGGCTCTTTAGGCATATTTAAAATAGTTGGTTTAGAGTCTTTGTCTAATAAGCCCAATGTCAGGGCTTCCCCAGGGACAGTTTTTGCTACTTTTCCCCTTTGAATGGGCCATATATTCTTGTTTCTTTGCATGCCTTACAATTTTTGGTTGAAAACTAGACATTTTGAGTATTATGATGTGCTCACTCTGGAAATCCGATTATTTTGCTCTCAGAGTTTGTTGTGCTTGCTAGCTGTGGGTTGTAGATGTTTTTGTTTAGTGACTTTTCTAAACAATCTTTAAAAGATTGTATTCTTTGTCTTGTTTGGTCTTAGAGATCCCTGTTTATTTAGCTTTTGGTCAGGTAATGGTTTCACAGAGATTTCAGTGAGTGCCTAGAGCTGGGTCTGGGAGGATGTTGGAGGGCAGGAGGAAAAAAGAAAAAGAAAAAGGAAGGGGAGCAAAAGGAGGAGGAAGAGAAAAGAAACAAAAGAAAACTAAGAAGAAAAAACTCCAGTCTTGGAAGACTGGCTCTATATTTAGACCCTCCTGCAACACAGCCCGGTTATTTACAACTACGCTTTAGCCTTCACTGCTGCCTTGCACTGAGCCTGAATATCAGCAAGAGATGAAACCACTGGGTCTTCACAGGTCTTTCCTGAGCATACATCGTGCCCTGAACAGATGCGTGGATTTCTCAGTTCCGTGTTACACATGGGATCTTGTCGAAGCCCTGACTTTCCAAAGAACCCTCTTACAAGCTTTCCCTCCCAGGCCTTCAGCATACCTAGTTTTTATTTTGAACCATGGTCTTTTGCCCCAGGTGGCAAGTGTTCATTGCTTCTCTTTAAAATGTTTTCAAGGAACACCCCCCACTTAGCCATTTTTCTGTTCTGGGAGAGTTTGGAGTTAAGTGATAGAGCCAGTCCTTCAGGAAACTCTCAAAACAAACAAAATCTTTTGAGAATTAGATGTGTTCTTTTCCCTCTGGACTCAGATACCCACACTGAGAACACACTTTGCTGTTTCATAATTTGCACGGCCATACTGGTGCAAGGCAAAGTTTTAAAAAATATCACAAAGCTCTCCTACTCCTACCATACTGAGTCATCTTTTTCTTGATTTAACTTCATTTAATTGCTCTTAAACTTTGGCTGTCTTTCAGAGGTCTGACAAAGTTGATTTTGGCAGTACACAGTAACATTAGCATTGAAAACACTTGAGATTATGAAAACCAGGAAGTTCAGTTTTCAGAATATGACTTCTGAAAATAATTGATGTCCAAAAGCCTAGGACCAAGAGATTTTGTCCAAATATAAGACAAACGGTTACTTTAGACTTGTGTGTCCTCCAAGGTCTGGGAATCACTATATAACAAATCTGTGAATATACTTTGTAATCATCTGGCCATTCTGATAAGCTGTTTCTCCAGTTATAACCATTAAGGCTTATGGTTAAGAGTAAGGGAATGCTGCAATCAGATAAGACTTATACATGAGTCCTATCTACTGCAAGTTTTTTAAAAGTATTTTGTTTGTAATTCTTATGTCTTTCTTACAGAGCATCCATGAACACAACCACCCACTGGTCAGCTCCAGTTGTATGGCATGGCACTTATGAAGAAAAAGTATTGGAAAAGTATTACACAAATCATAAAATTACTGTGGGGCTGACTGTGTTTGCTGTGGGAAGGTAGGAAGTACCAAATGTCCTTTATATTCAGGCTGTTTATTGTAGAAAATGAGAGATTATCAATAATTCCACTGTAAGAATCTAGAAAAAGTAGAGCCAAATGAGGCCAAAGCAAGCAGGAGTAAGGAAATAATAAAGAACAGAAACCCATGAAATTGAAAACAGAAAAACAATAGAGAAAAATCAGTGAAATGAATAGCTGGTTCTTGGAATAAAGTAAAATTCACAATCATCCAGAAAGTCTGACAAAGAAAAGAAATGACACAAATTACAAATAACAGGAAAGGAACAGGTTATGTTATCTCAGACCTTCAGATATCAAAAGATGACCAGGGAATACTATAAAACACACTACACACATACATTTGACAACTTAGATAAGATAAACCTTGAAAACCATAAACCACCATAATCCAACCAACATAAAATAGATTATTTGAATAGCCTGACAGCTATTGAGGAAATAGAATTCATAATTTTAAAAACTCCCAAAATCTCCAGGCCCAGATGGTTTCATGGGAGAATTCTAGCAAATATTTAAAGAAGAATTAACATCAATGCTACATAGTCTTTTACAAAAAAAACAGAAGAGGGAACATTTCCCAGTTCATTGTATGAAACAAACACTGCCCTGATAGCAAAATCATACAAAAAATGCAAGAAAGTATAAAGTTGAACGTGTCTATTAGTAATTAAAATTATAAAGTTTATAGTAACCTGTTATTAAGTATTGATATTAATGTATTGTTTGTTAGGAAAAAATATAGACAGAGAAAAGGAGGGAGGAAGGGAGAAAGGGAGAGGAAGAGGAGAGAGAAAGGAAGGAACAAAGGAAGGAAAGAGGGAAAGAAGAAACACTTCCCGGCAATGACATTGTACATCTGCAGGGAAAGACTTCCATAAATGGTGCTGCAGAAAGTTGATGCCACCAAGGGAAAGTTAAAATTGTACCTCTATAGCATACCACACACAAGTATGTACAAACATTAAGTTGCAGGTAGTTTAAAGACAAAAAGTTAAAGGAGAACTATAGTTTATCTTCATAAACTTAGAACAGAAAAGGATTTCTTAATCAAGACACGGAAAATAGCTCCTGCTGGTGTGGCACTGTTGGTCGGAGCAATGTCCCATACACCAAAGAGTTGGCGGTTTGCTTCCCAGTCAGGACACGTACCTAGACTGTGGGGTCAATCCCCTGTCAGGGCATGTATATGTTTCTCTCCCACATCACCATTGTTTCTCTCTCTCTCTCCCCCTTCCTCTGTCTCTGAAATTAATAAATGTATTTTTTAAAAAAAGACACAAACAATATTAACAAAGGGGAAGGCTGATGAATGTGACTCTATTAAAATTAACTTTAACTAAGAAATAATCAGAAAAAAAACCCCAAATTGATGGCCATTGTACAACCTGATCAGGACTCTTCAAAACAGTCATGGTCATGAACAAGGAGTGAAACTGACACAGGATGGAGGAGATTAAGGAGACATAAGGACTAAATGCAACGTGTGTCCTGGATTAATCCTGGAAACCAAAAAAGGCCATTGGGGGAAATACTGGTGAAACCCAAATAAATCTGTGGTTTAGTTAATAGTATTTTACCACCGATAATCTCCTAGTTTAGAAAAGTGTACCATGGTTTTATAAAATACTAACATTAGGAGAAGGTGGGTAAAGTGTATATGGGAGCCTTCTATAATATATTTGCACCTTTGAGTAAATCTAGTGACATTCCAAAATAAAAGGATTTTTAAAAATTAAAAAAATGATAAGTTTCCCACTGTAATGCCTGACCATAAGCTTCTTTGATTATGAATGCCCGACATCAGGCTTTCGGTTGCCGGGGCGCCCTTTTCAGACAGACATCCGCCTCAAGTAAGCTCACTGCCGTCTGCGCCTTGGATAGCAGCTGCACAGCTGGACAAAGAGCCAGCTGCCCCATGCATGAAATGTCCCTTTTAGAAAGCCCTGCGGAGCCTTGGTAACTGACCCCTTGAGTAATCCCACTTTTTCCTTCCCACACTTTAATTTCCACCCTTATGTTTTAAATTTGCTAGTAAAAAGTAAACTTGTGAAACCCCAGGCACCCCATCCTCTATCAGGGGTGTCCCACCCATGGGCCATGGGCTGCAGGAAGCTCAGGATGGCTATGAGTGTGGCCCAACACAAAATCGTAAATTTACTTAAAATCTTTGCTCCCAGTTTTCGTTAGTGTTTGTATATTTAATGTGTGGCCCAAGACAACTCTTCTTCTTCCAGTGTGGCCCAGAGACACCAAAAGCTTGGACCCCCCTGCCACCCCAACAAAGGCAGAATCCCAGGTCTGAGTTTGCTGTCTCCCTGCCTCCCTGCTTCCCTGTCTGGTGGTCCTGGGCACACTGTGTACCCTCCAGGACTTGTGGCCCTTGTGTTTTCAAAGCTCCCTGATGGCTGTTCTGGGGTGCGTCTTGCAATCATGATAAGAACCACAGCGCTGGGTCAGCTGCACTATTGCTAGGGAAATGTTGGTGGGGGTCTCACCACAAGGAGTAGGAGCCCAGGTAGATGGCCCCAGGGATTCCTAGGCTATTGCATCACTGTCAGTAGGCTGGGACTGACACAAAACAGCCCTATATCACACCACACTAAAAAATTAATTCAGATGGATAACAGGCTTCAATGTGAAAGGTCAAACAATAAAGCTACTGAAAGAAAATGCAGCTTTTCACTACCTTGAGGAGGAAAAGATTTCAGAAGCATGAAACAAAAGCACTAACCAGAAAAGAGATGTTGATAAATTGGACTCCTTTGGATTTCAGTTGCTAGCTTCCTAGATTTCATTCTTTTTGTTACTGAGTAATAGTCCATTGTATATGCATATAAACCACGTCTTCCTTGTGCATTCATCTGTTGATAGACACCTGGGCTTGGCTACTGTAAATAATGCTGCAGTGAACATGGGGTCCATATGTCTCTCCCAAGGAGTGTTTTTGTTTTCTTTAGATAAATTCCCAGAACTTGATTTTAAAGATTAGATAAACATTATTTGAAGCTGAGCCACATATGATTACCTTTCCTGTCTAAAATTTACCTGAGATTATTTATTACCCCGAGACTCTTCTCCTGGCTTGAGAGACTGGAAATGAGAAAGTTTATTTTCCAATCCAGGAATCTTAGCACCACATGAAAGGCCATAAAGCAAAATAAGGGAGCCGATGCAAGCAGTGGGGTATTAACCATCCCACCTCTGACTGTTTATGCATAACTGACTACTCCTGAAGCAAGCCACGGGTATCAGTGCAGTGACCCAAGACCTTGCCCGCCCACAGCCTCCAAAGCAAGGCCCTGCTGCTCTGACAACTCTGAAGACTCTGGCTCCCTTGCACTGGGCTCCGGGCAGTTTCCTGATCTCACCAAGTTTCATTCACTCTTGTGAGGAACTCCTCTCCCTGATCCTTGGAACCCCGCTGGGGAGAGGAAAGGCAGACAATTTTACTATCTTTTACACTGCTTAAATGCAACTCCAGAAGCATATCTAATATTTGGTTGCTTGGTAGCATTTTCAGATAAACTATAGTCAGTGTAATTTAAATAGTATGTGTCCCACTAAAACACAGGTGGCAAACACAAGGCCTGCAGGCCAAACCCAGCCCTCCACCTTGTTTTATCCCGCCAGCACCTTGTTTCTACCCTGGCAGTGCCGAGCTCTCGCTTAACTGTTAAGGAGTAGTTACATTTATACAGTCCTCAAATTACATCCGGCCCTTTGGAGGCAACCTCGAGGCGATGTGGCCCCCGGCGAAAATGAGTCTGACACCCCTGCACTAAAATATAAGAAAATAAACTTAATTCTTTTTTTTTTACTTCACAGATACATTGAAACCTATTTGCTCAACTTTATATTATCTGCTGATAAGTATTTTATGGTTGGCCAGAGAGTCATAATTTATGTCCTTACAGACAACTTCTCCAAGGTGCCTTGGATAGAGCTGAATCCCCTCCATACAATCAAAGTTTTTGAAATTAAGCGCGAGAAGAGATGGCAAGATGTTAGTATGATGCGAATGAAGACCATCAGCGAACATGTTGTAGATCACATCCAATATGAAGTCGACTTCCTCTTCTGCATGGACGTGGATCAAGTCTTCATGAAGAAATATGGGTTGGAGACCCTGGGGGAGTCAGTGGCTCAGTTACATTGTTACTGGTACAAGGCACATCCTATAGAGGTACCTTACGAGAGAAATCGGTTATCAGAAGCATATATACCTATGGGTCAGGGAGACTTTTATTACCATGCTGCTACATTTGGTGGTACTCCCGTTCAGGTTCTCAACATTGCCAGGGAGTGCTTCAAAGGAATCATGACTGATAAGAAAAATAACATTGAAGCGGTGTGGCATGATGAAAGTCACTTAAACAAGTATTTCTTTCTCCATAAACCCACTAAACTCTTATCTCCAGAATACAGCTGGGATGGTCGTGTAGAACGTACTGGTGAAATTAGAGCCATCAAAATAATTTGGGCTCCTAAGAATTATAAAGTTGTTAGAGCAACATGTAATGAATAAGCCCTTCCTCCCTTACCCGTTATGAATTTAAGAGCATCGCTTTGTCTTAGATGATCAGCCCTTGTCAAGCCTTAGCGGTAAAAAAAATCACTGACAAAACGGCGAGCTCACCAACACAACACACTCATACTCCTCCTCACATTCATCTGAATCGTCTGGCGTGCGATGTAGCAGGTGCGGAATGCATGCACTCACATCAGATTTGATAAAATCACGCAGTGATTTTATATCCCCTGTGAATGTTGACAATCTGCTATTGGTGGGGTCACACTGAACAAAATCGAACCTGTCACAAGAAAGTGAAACCTGAACTACTTTCACTGATCCAAGTAGATAAACGTTTCTCACATTACCTGAGGCTATGGATTGTCTGGAGGTGCGGATAAGGGAAAGTCCCTGTGACTGTCCTAAGAAGCCGTGTTAAAACTTGGAGGACATCAAAGCTGCCACCAGATGGGCAGACAGGTAGGAAACTTCGAGTTGCTCAAAAAGAGCGATGTGTTTTAAAATGACAAAGTTGTTTATTGTAAAAGCTAATACGAATAAAATAAAAATAATATGGAAGGAAAATTGAAAGCATCCCTTTACTCTCTCTTTGAAACCCTGCCCCTCAAAATTCCTTTTATATGCACTTATATACCCGCCGCATGAACACACACACATATGCACATGTGCTGTATGCTTATATAATATTTTATACAAACTGACTTATCACACAAATGCACACGCACACATTTACTGGTAGCCAGGGTCCAGGCAGGAAAACAGGAACTGCTATTGTCGGTATTCCCAACAGTGGAAATTTGAGATAGCGAACTGGACATATAGATGATCAGAGAGCTGAGGAGCACGCAAGGGAGAGTGAGGTAACTCATAACTGTTTCTTTTAAATGAAGGCAATGACCCTTCTAGGGCTGGAGGACACACTGTAAGGTGTCCAAAAAGGGCTAAAACGCGGCATGAGTTGCCTGACATGAGCTGGGACAACAGGGAGAGAAATTCTAGTCACTGCTAAAGATGCCATTCAAGTGAGTAGTAGAAAGAGAGAGCGATTGGGAGAGGGAGGCTTTTCTTCTTCTATTTTGCTCTCTTCTGCCAGTGACGTTCACTGTCTGATGCAAGGGAGTCTGGGAAATGTGGTCTCCGCCACACCGAGCGGAGGGTGGGGAGAGATGGAGAGCCATCTGAGAGCACAGCAAACGAATGGCTACCAGTCCACCCATCTTGCCATGAAGTTCCCATTCTCGCCCTTCTACTCACGCCCAACTCTCATAAAACATGTTTCCACCTTGCAGAATTCAGCTAACTTTTGTACCAACAAAGAATCACTTTATTCCCCAAAAGTGACACACAAAGCAGTTTCCCTCACCACGTCCAGGAACGCCAGATGACAGGGGGTCCTCTCCCTCAGGACTATTGGCTCTTCAGTGTGCTGAGCACCCATCTACATGGAAAAGGAAAAGAACACTCCTCATTCAAATAGGTAGGGGAAGGAAAAGGACAACTCATCGGTTTACATATAAAGATATATGCTTTATGTGACAATGCATACTTACAGTAATTATGTTTATGATTGCGTGCTTGCTGTAGTCCTATTGCTGTAGCTGGAAACATCTGCCACAATGTTAGTTCTTGACTGTATTACAAATAATCTCAATAATGGACCTCCCTTAAGGTTCAGAGAACCAGGGAGAAGAATCCAATAAACATGCCAGATAGTTTAGAACATGTGCCCGTGTTTTAGCTACAAGGGGTAAGGAGAGGGAATTCCTGCCTGTTTCAGCTTCCATACTGGACAGATGATACTGGTGCTCCTTGAATTTAGGACTGATGTAGCCAAAACATAAAAACGGGCATATTTAAGATTTTATATAAATAAAAATATACAGTATTTGCTCTTTTATGGGGGGGGGGCCTGGCTTCTTTCACAATATGATTACTTTGAGGTCCATCTGTGTTCTTGCACGTATCAACACTTTGTTCTTTTTATCTCTGAGCACTACCCCACAGTTTGTTCATCCAGTCACCTGTTGACAAACATTTGGGTCATTTCCACCTTTTGGCCACTGCCAAGAAAACTGCTATGAAAATCCATAAGCAGATTTTTTTAACGTTTTCCTTATCTTGTGTAAATATCTAGAAGTGGAATTGCCAGATTGTATGGTGTGTGCTGAAATTGTGATTAACTGCCAAATTCCTTCTTTTTAATTCTGCTCATTTTATTTTTTTAAAGATTTCATTTATTTTTAGAGAGAGAGAAGAGAGAAAGAGAGGAAGAGAAACATCAATGTGTGGTTGCCTCTCATGTGTCCCCCACACTGGAGACCTGGCCCACAACCTAGGCATGTGCCCCAACTGGGAATCGAACCGGGGTCCCTTTGGTTTGCAGGCCAGCACTCAGTCCACTGAGCCACACCAGCCAGCGCTGCAATGACTCTTAAACATGCAAAGGATGTTCAACATCAGTCATAATAAAATAAATGCAAGTTAAAACTACACTGAGATACGATACACACCTTTCAGATGTCAAACACCAAAATTTTAACAATGCACTATATTGATAAGGGTGTGAGGAAATGGGCACTTTCATCCACTGATTGTATGAGTTAAACTGGAACAACCACTATGAAAAACAATTTGGCAACATTCACTTAAGGTTTAAATGGGTATAACCTTTGATCCAGCAATTCCATTTCTAGGAATTTATCCTACAATATAGTTCAACATGTGCTGATAGAGCATAGTCAAGTATTTCTACTGTGGCATTTCTTACAACATCAAAGACAATAATCAACCAAAATTTCTGACTATAGAAAGCCGTTCAAATTATGATATGGTCATGTCATAAAATACAATTCACTAGAATGTTAAATGTATGAGATGTAATGCAATGATCTTCAAAATATTTACTGATGAGTAAGAAATTCAAAGTACCAAAGAGTGGTTTTAGTAGGCTGCCATTTGTGCGAAGAAGGCGGAATACACATACACTGTATACATAAAATATAAATAAAACCCAGCAAACTGCTAACAGTAGCTGCCCCTGGAGATGGGGGTATGGGAAGAGTCAGGTGCATTAATGTAAACTTTTTCTCTGTTAGAACTTTTTTACTCTGAGTATCTCTTTTTTCAATATAAAAAACAAATTTATTTTTAAGGAAGAAGGGCAAAACAAAGGTGCATGCTATATCTCAAATGAAGGGTGGTTCTCTCAGGACAGTGTGATTATATTTGAGTATCATTTTCTTCTTTGAGCTTTTATGCACACGACAAATTTAATAACATGGAGATGTGTTACTTCTACAATCAGGAAATAAGTCTTTTAAAAACATTCTGCCCTAGCTGGTGTAGCTCAGTGGATTGAGCTCAGGCTGTGAACCAAGGGGTCGTCACTTTGATTCCCCATCAGGGCACATGCCTGGGTTGTGGGCCAGGTTCCCCATGAGAGCCACATGAGAGGCAACCATACACCGATGCTTCTCTTCCTCTCTTTAAAAATAAATACATAATTAATTAATTTTAAAAAACCCTAAGAAAACATAAGAAGGGATTAGCTTTACCTTGGGTAATTGGACAACACCTAACAGAGGATGAAGAATAAAAAAAGTTTCACTTTTGTGTCATCCATACACACAACACACACACACACACACACACACACACACACACACACACCAGCACACCATTCACAATATACTTCCGTAAGTAAAAACCAGTCATTGAGACAGGTAAGGCAGTACAAAAACTACAACAAAACCCTAAAAGCAAAATATTTAAAATCCTTTACTTTTTCAAATGAGACAAAGTTCTACGATCTGGTAACAATGAGAAGAACTTGCTACCAAATGTATCATTATGACTTTCTAATGCTTTCATCACAAGAGTCTGATGACATCACCATTAGCAGAAGATCCGAACACAAGGAGAGTATTAGATAATACCTTTTTATATTTTTTCCTAAAAACCTGAAAATTTAATGCTCAGAAAACATCCTAAGACAAAAACTAAAGGTAAGGCTCTTAGGAAGAGACTGTACAAAAGTCCAGATGACCTGGTGAAATCATAGGAGGGCTCGTCCTCAAACCTTGGCCTTCAAAGTGTACGGTACAAGGTAGGTGACACTTAAACATATTTCTGGCCTTTAAGAATAATGTCATTGAGGACATATTGTCAGAAGCAGTCTGGTTAAATGGAATCTTGCCTCATTCACAGGGATTTCTAATGTTTTTTTGAATTTAAAAGTTGGTCATTTCACATTGCTGGATGCTAAAATCACGCCCAGTTGAAGCCTTCCCGGTCTGGCGTTATCTAGAGGAGAGCTGTCTAAAGGAACACAGCACAAGTCACATTTGTAACTTTAAATATTCCAGTAACCCCGTCGCCAAAGTATAAAAAGAAACAGCTGACCTTTATATTTTTTGAATTTCAAATTACACAGTTTTATTTCAGCTTAAAATGTGCTTATTTTTAAAATTCTTTTTAAAATTTTCAGTGACAGTTGACATTCAACATCATTTAGTTTCTCATGTACAGTGTAGTGGTTAGACATTTACAAAACTTTTGAAGTTCTCTCCCCAATGAGTTTAGCACCCGCCTGGCCCCGTACATATTTACTATAACATTATTGACTATATTCCCAATGCTTTACGTCCCCGGGATTATTTTGTAACTGACAATTTGTACTTCCTGGTCTGTTCACCTTTTCCACCCAGCCCAACTCCCCTCATATCTGGCAACTATCAGTTTGTTCTCCGTATCTATGGGTTTCTTCTGATTATTATTTCTTAGATTCCACATGTAAATATAATCATATGGTATTTGTTTTCTCCGTCTGACTTACTCCCGATAGCATGATACTCCCAAGGTTCACCTGTGTTGCTGCCAATGGCTGAGTGGTATCCGCTGTACACATGTACCACATCTTCCCGTCCATTGGGTCTATCGAAGGGCACTTGGGTTGCTCCGTATCTTGGAGCGATATCGCACATGAATATTGCACA